CTTAGCATACAACCTTACTCACGCCTTGACGGGATGGCGGGCTGCTTGAACTAAAATGGAGCGCGCTGTCTGGACCCTCCAGCGACTTGCCGGGTAAATGACCAAATTTACTGTAATTAAAGTATTTCGATTCTGGCAAGGCACCACGAAATGACCAAGAGCGTAACCAAAACTCGCGTAAATCCAGACTAATACAGTAATATCCCGATTTACGCGGTCAATTAAACCCATGGAGTAGCGCGTAAAACGAGAAACACGTAAATGGAATAACAGAACATATGGGATTAATTGAAATAGAGACTGGGCCGACTCCCAAACTCCACTTTTTCCAACACAATACCTATGTTGTAGTAAAAATAACATCTTAATTTTATGATGGTATGCACACACAATTAATATTTAAGAGAAATACAGTCACCAGGTTAATGTCCATTCAAATAATGGACTCAACTCCCACCCCCCCCCCCTTCCCACACTCTGGCTCCTCCCTCCCTGAGAAATGTTTGGGTGAAAACACTAGATTTTAAGGTATACTGTACAGTATTAATAAATAATACCTCAGACTAAAGTCAGGATAATATAATTGACATTGCTGGATTCCTTGCAAGACCAGGAATATTTTGAATATACACGTCATATATTTTGCACAAAAGATAAAATATTTGCTCTCTGTAAACAAAATTCTTACATTAGATCTAAAATTTGTATGTCTAATGCAAAGTCCATGATGTTTATACAGTTAACCCTCACTTTACGCGGTTAATGTAACCCGGAGGGTCCCGCGTAAAGTGAGAAACGCGTAAAGTGAATAACATAACATATGGGATTAAATGAAATGGAGTCCGGGCCGATCCCCAAACTCCACTTTTTGACGACACACAACTATGTTGGAGTAAAAATATTATCTTAACTTTATGATGGTATGCACACACAATTAATAATTAAGAGAAATATCAATAATATTAGGTTTTTTAACACTTACATTAGTAGAAAAAATGGCTGGGCACACGGGGATGGGCGGTTGGTTCCGAGGCAGAGGGCAGATTATTGGCCCTCACCTGTGTCACTTGTATCACTATCCACCACAGAGGCTTGCAGGGCCTCTTTGTCAAACTCCCCAAAGTCCATATACTGTAAGTCCATATCCTCACCATAATTATCACTATCACTGACTTGGGCCGGCTGTGGTGGGTGGCGGGTGAAGAACTGGTAATGTTTTGATGACTGGGCGACCTTGTGCGCACCATGTTCAAGCCGCTTACACAACATGGCGGATGGCGGGAGGTTTGGATCCAAAAATGGCGCGGCTCGCCAGCCGCTCTCCGCGTAAAGGGGTACACGCACCGCGGAATGTGAGCATCCTAGGTTCCGGCAGGGCACCGCGTAAACGTGGAAACGCGGAATGTGGGACCGCGTAAAGTGAGGGTTAACTTATTTAAAATGATCATCATATTGTAAGAATTCCAGCACTGTAAATTATATTCTGGCCGGGTAGTTTTTATGAATTTTATGAGCTAAAACAAATATCTTCAGTAAATAAAAAAATTACACTTCACCCGCATAAATGAGTAATTGCACCGCGTGCATCCCGGTTCTGGCCAGGTACTGCGTAAATGACCAAACGTGTAAACGAGAACCGCGTAAATCGAGGTTCAACTGTATTATTATTACTTTATTTAATATCTGTTTCTTTTAAGACCATGGAATTCATACCAACGATAAGATAAGGAAGAAGGCTTTTGCTTGATGGCTACACCTACATCGTTGATAAATGGAAGACACTGTAATATATTGGCGATGTGAACGCAAAGGAAGTTGTTGGGGACGATTAAAAACAGAAGAAGACGTTATTCAAGGAGAAGCAAGTAATCACTCATGTCCACCTGATGCCGGACGTAACCTGTCCTTGAAAACAGTAAAGAAAATTAAAGAAAGAGCCAGACAGTTGGAGGAAGTGACATTGACTATTATACAAAACTGCACCAGTGAGTACCCACTTGATGCTGCAGGAGCTCTTCCTAAGAAAGAAACTCTAGCAAGAATGGTGCGCAGACAACACATGGCACCAGACGGGGACTTTTTAACTGACGACTTACGGAAATCAATTACAGGAGAAGCCTTTGTCATCCATAAAAGTGACAACCTGCTAATTCTGTCAACACCTTGAAACTTACAGCTTCTTGCTTTCAAAGACCACTGGCTGTGTGATGGGACATTTGATTCTGTGCCAGTAGGCTTTCAGTTACATACAGTGCATGTTATGCTGGATGAGAGCCATACAACTCCCTTGGTATACTGCATCGCAAGGAACAAAAACCAAGCAAATTATGACATGATTTTTAGCACCCTCAAGCAAGTGAGACCAGATCTCAATCCTGTTTCAGTCACCATTGTCTATGAAAGAGGGGCTCTTAATAGCATCACAACATGTTTCCCAAACACAAAATTTTTTGGATGTTTTTTCCATTTTGGGCAGTGCTTGTGGAGACAAACACAGGGCTTAGGACTACAGACTTGGTATAATGACCCAAGAAATGCACTCATCATAAAGTCCGTTCAAGCTTTAGCATTTGTGCCAGTCAGTGACGTTGCTGAAAGCTTCAATGAATTTGTCTCAGCAGTAGATGATGAAACTTATGAACTTCTATCCGAGTTTCTTAGCTACTTTGAAGCGACATGGATTGGTGTTGTACAGCGTGGAAGACGACGAAGACCAGTATTCGAACTCAGGCTGTGGAACATATTGGAGAGAAACACGCGAGGCCTTCCACGGACAACAAACTCTCTTGAAGGATGGCATAGGGGGTTTGAGCAGAGAAAGGCAATCACCCACCCCACCGTTTGCCGTCTCGTTTCAAAACTAAGAAAAGAGCAGTCGGACTGGGAGTTGACAATTGAGCAGGCAGCAGCAGAAATGGTATTGAGGAAACCGAAGAAGTATCAGATATTAAACACAAGACTGAAATCTCTCATTGAGAAATATGAGGAGTATCCCAGAATCGACTTCTTGAGAGCAATTGCCCACAATCTTTAAATATTTATGAACATTTCATTTTATACAGCAATTTTTATAAAGCAATTACATTACAATCAATATCTTTTATCCTTCATTAAATGTGCAAAAAAAAAAAAAATTGTATATCATGCAAATGTATCACATTGAAATTATGTTATCTTTATATCCTTTGTTTTATAAAGCAAATACATTGCAAAGATGCAATTACATTACAATCAATATCTTTTATCCTTTAGTAAATGTGCAAAAAATACATTGCAAAGAAGAAAAATTAAAAAAAATTAAAAAGGCCATATGTCCATTTGGCCAAATGTCCGTTCGGCCATTTGTCCGTTCGGTCTATTGTCCGTTCGGCCATTTGTCCATTCGGTGTATTGTCAGTTCGGTCAAATGTCCGTCGGTGAAACGTCCTTCAGCCATCTGTCTGGGAGCCACAGTACTGGTATTGGTTTGCTCAGCTCTCATGAAGAATCTCCACCCCAACTTATTACACCTACAGATTAACCACCTTAATGCTATTTTTGGGGATGAGTTTAGGATAGCTTAGCATTTGGGTAGTTAATCTTGAGGTGAAATAAACTAGGTTGGAGATTCATCAGGTGATCCCACTATTACAAGGTGCAGTAAACTTGGTGGTGGGGGGGGGGGAGGGGCATTTCTGACTTATACAGTACTGTACTGTGTTTTCCTTTTTATTTGTATACATGTTAAAAGTTTTATAAGGTAAGTTTAAAATTTAAAGACCAAAATATTTTGTGCACAGAAAAGTTAGCCACAGATCTGTAATGTGCAGTTAAGGGTCCAGGAATTTGGGGTGTATGTTTTAGGGCTGCAGTCCCATACTGTACCTTAAATTTCCCTTTGAAATACAGAGAATGATTTAACATGATTCAACACACCCACACCTGCTGTGTTGACAATAAAGTGAAAGAATTAAACATTAAACTTTGAGATGACTATCACAGACTCATATCATTCTTGATGGCAATCCTTTTTTTTTTTTAAGAAAAAGTAATACAGTATTACCCCGCTTTACGCGGGTTTTTTTTACGCGTTTCCACGTTTACGCGGTACCCTGCCGAACATGGAATGCTCACTTTACGCGGTGCATGTACTCTTTTACGCGGAGAGCGGCTGACGGTCCTCTCGCGCCGTGCCATTTTTGGATTCAAACCTCCCGCCATGTTGGGTAAGCGGAGCAAGTAGGTTGCGCAGTGTATGTCTTTGTTGCGTTATCGGTGACGTCATATGATGTATCGGACTGTGATTGGGCCAAGCATCCTTACCTCCCTCCCCCGCTAGCTGTGATTGGTTTAATGCACTATGACGTGCTCCGCCGCGGGAGCGTTCAAGCCCCTTGACCTGCCCGCACCAGTTACACCCCTTCAGGCTGCACTGTGTATATCGGTATCTATTGTTCCATAAGAATGGCTTCCACCGGACCACCACCACCACCACCACCACAAAGAAACCTTGTATTACCTGGACTCAGCCGCCCTAAGCCAAAGAAGATACGACGTTCCCTAAGCTACAAATTTAAAAAAAAGATCATCCAAGAGTTGGACAAAGGAACAAGACAGGTTGATCTCGCGCTCCAGCATGGTGTTAACGAATCTACGATCCGGACAATTAAGAAGGATGCAGCCAAGATAAAGGAGCACATGAACATCACAAAGTTTACAGGTGCTTCTATGATCAAGTATTGCCACAACCAGGTGCTTCTTAAGACGGAGAAATTAATTGTGAGCTACTTGATTCGTAAGGCGCGACGGGACATGGCGGTGGACACGCGCTCAGTTAAGGAGTACGCACGTGAACTGTATGCTGCAGTGTCACATAAGATGGGAATTGCAGAGACCAAACCTTTCAATGCTTCCTCTAGGTGGTTGCACAGGTTTAAGAAGAGGAACAAGATCACCAACATTAACATTGGTGGTGAAGAAGCTAGTGCTGACCGTGTTGAGGTTAGGGAATTTCCTCCGTTTTTACGTGAGATTATGGAGGAAGGAGAGTACACCAACGACCAGGTGCTTAACATGGACGAATCTGGTCTTTTTTGGAAAAAGCTACCTTCCAAGACCTTCATTGTGAAGAATGCCAGAAGTGTCGAGGCCGGAAGTTGCAGAAAGGAGCGCATCACCGTCCTGTTTACCACCAATGCCTCCGGTACCTGTAAGCTCAAGTTATCAGTGATCCACACAGCACGCAAGCCGCATGCCTACAAGAGCACGTACATGACCAAGCTAAATGTCCACTGGCTGACCGCACGTAAGGCGTGGATGTTCTCTACACTGTCCCTCTCCTGGTTTGATGACTGTTTCGTTCCCGACGTGAATAAATTCTGTGAGCAACAGAATGTTCCATTCAAGATTTTGTTGCTGCTTGACAACGCACCAGGACACTCGCCCCTACTATTGGATCGTCACCCCAACATAAAAGTGGTCTTCCTTCCTCCCAACACTACGTAATTAATACAGCCCATGGACCAAGAATTGATCTGTAATGTGAAAGCTGCATTCTCTGCAAAGAAGTTTAAGCTCCTGAACGACTATACCAACACCAAGGATGAGTTGCGTAACCTGGGTGACACCGATAGCAAGAGCGAAGACGACGAGGAACAACAGTTGGCAGAGCAAGAAGTACTTGTGAAACATTTTTGGAGAAAATTCAACGTCAAGAAAGCTGTGGACTTCTTGGTGGAGGCATGGGATCAGCTGTCTGTAGCAACTGTTCGTCACGCATGGAGACATGTGTTGCAAGGTATTCCAGGTGGGAGGCAGAGTCAATTTGTGACTGGTGAGGTTCAGACTGTTGTAGTAGCCGTGAACCTTGCCAGAGAAGCTGCGCAGAGTGTTACAGCTGCAGGCTTCTCCGAGACCACCAACAACAACATACTGGAGGTGATAAGGGATTCTGATGTGACTGCCAACGAGATGTTAGACAATGATGAAGTCAGTGAAGAGGCAGGTGGTGCGTCATCCCAAGAAGAACGCAAGTTATCTCATAGTAATGTAAGGGGTGCCATCGAGTGTGTTGAGAAACTTAAGCTCCTCCTTTCCGACGACCCTGACGATAACCGGTATGAAGTCTTCACTTCCCAGCTGTTGCAGACCATGGAGCCCTACTTCAAGGTGTATCACAACAACATCAACACCAGCCATCAGCAAAGCATTACCGAGTTCTTCGCCTGCAACCCACCACAGCCAGCCCAAGCCAGTGATAGTGACAGAGACAGTGATGGTGACTTTGAGGGATTTGTCAGGGAGGCACTAATAAGTATGGATGACAGTGATGATGACTCACCTGAGGGCCAGTAGCCTGCCCTCTGCCTCGGAACCAGCCTCCATTCCCGTACGCCGACCCATCTCTTCTACTAACGTAAGTGTTAAACCTAACCTTGTTTTTTTCTAACCTAACCTACTGTACAGTATATTATTCTCTTATTGATTGTTCTCTTCTATATTATGTGTGTGTGCATACCATCATAAAGCTAAGATGTTATTTTTACTAAAACGTACATATTGTGTTGGGAAAAAGTGGAGTTTGGGGGTCAGCCCAGTCTCTATTTCAATTAATCCCATATGTTATGTTGTTCACTTTACGCGTTTCTCGCTTGACGCGGGCCGCCGTGGGTTCAATTGACCGCGTAAAGCGAGGGTTTACTGAACAGTACTGTATGAGTATTATAATTTTCAAATATTATTGGTAAAGGTGGAGGAGACAGTTACCACCAGAAGTAACCTATGGATCTGAACCAAAATTCCTGGAGATACTATTTGCATGACACTGAAAACGAAAATGGAAACAAGAATATGTAAAACCTCTTAGAACCTGACCTAACCTTATCTAGCATCCTAACCTGTGGACACTTTCAGCAGACACCAGAAAGAAGTTGGAGGCCTTTCAAAAGTGGTGTTATAGGAGAATGCTAAGAAAAGGCTACACTGAGAGAAAATCAAATGAAAAACTACTACGATTAGCATAAACTTCCAAAGAAATACTTGAAATGTACAGAAAAATAAAAACGAGATACTTGGTCAAATAATTAGGGATGAGGAATAATAACAAATATTAATGGACCAAGTTCAGGTCAGGGGGCCAAGGGAAGGCAG